GTGTGCTTTCAGAAGGAGGGGCTTCATAGAGACAGGAAGTAAACAGAGCGTTACTGACAGACTGGGAAGAGAGGAGCCGCAACAATAGAGAATATGAGGAGAATAATCAACATTCAAGCAGGAAAACCTGTTCTAGTAGAGCACAAAAACAAGAGAGTGTGTAAAAAGCATTATATGGCCTCTTTAAATCCAGTCACAGATCAGTTGATGCTCACCTGTCGCCACCTGGTGGCCGAGGCCTCGACTGCCGCTGTGGATCATCACACACACCTGCCCCTTGTGGTCGATGCCCATCTTCTTTGCGGCGTAATCATTATAGATCTCATCCACCACCTGGATCTCGGCGTAGTGATTTCCTGCACCCAACGTCCCCAGCTACACAACAGAACCAAGACTTTAAACTCGTTTTCATTTAATAATCAATTAATGAATCAAATAATACTTTGTCAACTTCTTAACTCTTTCCCCGCCAGCGTTTTAAAAAAAAGTTGCCAGCCACCGCCAGGGTTTTTGACGATTTTCGCTAAATTTGAATGCCCCGCTGAATATTTTCTTCCATGAATATATGAAGATGATATATATAAAAATAAAGATCTGAGCCTCTGCTTTTAGGCAAAAAAAACGTTTTTATTTTATCTTCATCTGTTCTTTTTTTATTGCCTCTTGAACAGAGGTAGGTTTTGTCAAAAACACAACATTTTGGACAAAAAACTGAGAAAAAGGTATTTTTATCAAACAAGTGCATTTAAAAGCAGAATACATTCAGATATTGTTTCCTTCATATATAAAACTTTCCAAAATAAATTAAAAACATAAATAAATGTAAAATATATCAAATTTCCCAGGATGTAAGGGAAATGTAACTTTTGCAATAAAACTTCTGCCTCTGCCTCTCTGTGTTCTACCTGTGAATAATGAATAATTGGAATTACAATAAACAGGCCTAGACACACACACACACACACACATACATATTACAATGTGGTAAATGTGCACAAAGAGAGAAATAATTTGACAATTACACCTTCATATTTAGACAGCCACACATAAATGCCTGCACACACACATACATATTATAGTGTCATAATATTATACGATCTATCTGCGGCACGTCCATGGCTAGAACTTTCTGTGACAACATGTGCATCTCTCTCACTGACTACTTCGTCCCGATCAGATTCAGAATTATCAAATAAAGAGTGATCGGACTCCGAGTCCATTAACCTCCAGTACTTCAGCCATATACCTCTGCATTGTCTGTCTGATACATTCTCACTACTCCACTGTTTGAGACGATTGCAATCTATTTCTCTGATCAAAGAGTTGCGCACTCATTCAGGACATGCGCGCGGGTCTTCCTTACCGTATACCACCTAAAACACGGATACCCGGAAAATTCCGTGTTTGGCGCAGATGCGTTTTTTCATTAAACACGGAAAATTCCGTGTTTGGCGGGGAAAGAGTTAATGGTGTTTCTATTCCAACTCAGTTGTAGTAACTTTTTGATTTATTCAAACATACAAAAGGTTAATGAGATTGAGGACAACAGGTTAAGTAAAAATATAATGAAATATTTTCTGTTCAGCAAATGTTTTAATCTTCGCTGTTGCTTCAATGCAAATAAACAAGCGTGCTGTTATTCGTTGTGTAGTGACGTGCCTGTTCAAGTATGCCAGATATGAGCAGATTCTGTTATTATATCGTTATGTTATTAGATCTGCACAGATGCGTCTTATACGAACTTCCCAGCAAACCGAGTAAACAAACATAATAAGTAAAGTTAACAAGCTGTCTCTCCGCAGCTGAAACCCGATCGATCGATTGGTCATGATGTTTCTGGCAAAGATTTCGGCCCTCCAAAACAGTTTCATGGTCTTTTTTTTTTCTTTGTCAATTTCAGTGCATCACTACTTTATACAACTGTAAAACACACAAACACAGAGTCTGATATGAATGTTTTGGTAAACGTGTGTGTGTGTGTGTACCTGTGGCAGTCCTCTCTTCTTAGCTTTGGACGAGACTTTGTTGGGATCGGCCTGCAGCATTCGGCCGTATTCCTCACAATGTTCCTTATCCTCGGCCCAGGCGTATCCCTCCCTCAGAGACCAGTCCACACCCATCTCTAGAGCCTCCTCCAGATCTCTACACACACACACACCGCTTACTAAAGCCTGTGCCATGAGAGCTAGTTTTACATGTCCTGAGTGTGAAACACTGTTATTTTAGTATTATTTATATACTATTTGAATTGGAATTTCTAATCCATTTTTTTTCAATCGAACCGCATCTTTTTGAATCATCTGACAGTCTTTCCAACATCTCCAGGGCTTTTGTTAAAACTACACATTAAACTTGTGCATTTTGTGTGTTTCCCTTTTCCCCTAGAAGAATCTCTTTTTCTGATTTCTCTAGTCAAGCAGGTTGAGAACAAATAGACGAGATGAAGACGAAAGCTTTCTTGAGCTAGTGTTTAACGGTGTTTACTTTGCACCCATCGGGATGACGCCCTTGGACCCGACTCCGACGGGGATGTGGTCAAACATGGACTGGGCCAGCTGCTCCTTCACCGGCTGCACGTCACACTCATCCAGGTTCGTCCGCAGGAGTCGCACGCCACAGTTAATGTCAAACCCCACTCCCCCTGCACACACACACACACACACACACACACACACACAGTCGTCAGTGATATTTACATGGGTTAGGGTAGTAAACAAAAATCGTTCAATTTCGAGAAGTAAATAAAAATGTATACATTCAATAATGAACTAAATTTATCTAAAATCCTGATGTTAAGTAAAAAATAAAGTGTAAAGTGATCGATCGTGAATCTGAACAGGGATCCATTACGTTTTTTTTTTCCTATTGAACAATTTGTCATGTACAAACAATATAATATAACTACACTATGACAATAGGATCAGGTGCAAAAGTGCATAACAGAAAAGAAAAAAAGTAAGATGAGATTATTTTTCAAGTCATATTCTTCTATTGTAGCAAAAAAATGTTTACTTTTCATCATTTTAAGGGCATTTTTATAAAGAAACTCATTGTGAAATAGACAGAACTTCGGTTTCACGTTCAGATATTTAGATTTGCGTGTATAAAATTGAACTGGAATGAGACGACACGGATCATTACGTACCGGGAGAGACCACAGCATCCGGGTTCGACATGTCAAATGCAGCCATGTTCCCGATGGCAAACCCGTATCCGGAGTGGACGTCGGGTAAGCCGATAGACCGCTGAAGAACAGAAGTGAATGAGGAAACCACAGGCAGCAACAAATACAGCAGTGAACATGAGCGTGAGCAGACAAAGCAAAATAATATTATTTAAAGTGCCTCTATTTTAAAGTTTTCTAATATTGTTTTGGAGTCTCTGCATCAAACGTCACATAAACTTTCATTTTCTCATAATATACATCACTATTCATTAAACTCAAACGCAGTTTGAGGGACTTTGAGATGTTGCAACTGTAATTCTAGGGACTTTAATTGACAATCTCGAGTTTCTGCGCCTACTTTGTATCTGAAAGGTATGATGGATATTTATACTTTTGCTGAAAGCTGGTTCATGTGATGATTAATCCCGCTAATTTTACTCACATGTACGATTCCCGGCAGGGCGGCAACGTTTCCGATTTGCTTCATGGCAGGTAAGAAACCACCAATCCCTGTGAAAACAGGTCAAGAGCATCTCATTAACATTGACTCACATTTTATGTTCTATTCAAATGAGCAATTACAATTTCTGTTGGCTAAAACAATGCTTTAATGTTTTGTCATATTATCATGAATTTTTCTGGAAGAATTTACCCCACATAATATCAATGAACCTTGGGTCTGTGCATAAGGTGTGTTTTATGACTATGATTGACAGGTGTGTTTGAGTTCGTGGAGTATTTTATTAGCCAATCAGCTTTGAGATTAATCACCATGTTACAAACTTTGATTTAGGGCAAAATGACTATGTAAATTAATCTATGCAAACGCATATTGTTATTTCCAGGGTGTTTGTACGAATGACTCAATAAAACGTGGTGACGTCACCTCCACCGCGACAGGCGTTTCTCAGCTCCTCAAACATCAGTTTCTCCAGTGGATCATTGACATAGAAAATACCCTCCACCTGAGGATAAAGCATTATTCAACATCTAAATCAATCCGACACAAAGTGCAGTACTGTTAAATACTAATTTACTGAGTATTACAAATTGTGTTATTGATGTAATGATTGGATTCTCTATATGCGTCACTGAATCAGAACCTGATACGTTTGCGTTTCACGTGATTTACCTGCATATTAGGCACGAAACCCTTCTTGATCCGCCAGCAGTTTTTGTGGACTTTATCCAGATACTGAAGCTCATCGTTATAGGTGCGACTCATTTTAAAATCAAATTAATGAACGCACTTTTGACACTCTTCACACGCTTCTCTGGTACTTCCTTCTTCTTCACGTGGGTTTTATACGATTGTCGCGAGTTTGTTCATTATGTTCAGCGCCGCCTACCGCTCCACGAGGTTATTGCAATTAATGTAGTAAATGGAGAATTATATATAAACTTACTGGGCGGTAAACATGGGATAAATAAAATGTAGTAATAAATTAATAATTATATATTTGTAAATAAAAACGACAGGGAAAAGCACCGAAAATGTGCACTTTCAATGGACCCTTTTCACTGACAGTGATGATGACGCGTTTGAACGGTCATCTTTATCGTAAATCCTGCGTTTTACATCTTAAGTTTTTTATATTTAATTTTTTTAGATGTATTTACATATATAACACAATATTTTGTGTTATATTACCTTTGCATCAAATTACAAAAAAGACGACCTTGCCTTCTTCTTGCTGTACATATTAGCTATTTATAAATAAATATTTAAACTTTAATTTATACATCTAAATACATATTGACAAATAATGTTATGAAACTTGACAATGAGTTGGCAGATTTATTTACAGCAAATGGCTAATGTCACGGGACTTTTATTTTGACTGTCTCTCGCTCAGCTGTTTTGCTCGGCTGCAGTTTCTGCGCTACTTTGACATGTTTACATTTGTTCATTAATATGTAATATTAACACAATAATTCGAGGTTATTCTCTTTGAATAAGCAGTGGCACCGAACACTGGGCTAAATTCAGCAGGTAACGGTGAAATATCGCTGTGTAGTTTAGTGAAAGTAAAAGCGGTTCTGGAGAGTTTCTCTGAAGTGAAAGCGAATCTGAGGAGCACGGATCTGTTTTCATGTTTCATGTTACTGTATTCTGTCTAGAATGAAGCTCCGGGTCCGAATCAACAGACAGACCAGGCGACTGGAACTGGACGGACCAGAACCGACTCTTTCCGAGCTCAGAGTCCGGATCAGAGACACCCTGCTGGGGTGAGCTTTCATTAGGTTTCATAGTCAAGTGTTTGTTTATTTCCAGTGAGTAATTGTAGTGCGTCAGTTAGTTGCCAAGCTTACATTTCTGCAAGTTTTTCATCTTTCACTGTTGTTTACATTTACTTAAACTTGTCTATACATATTTTTTTTGGTTTGTTTTTGTTTTTTGATGATGATTATTATTATTAGTTGGATTTTCCACATGAGTTTGGTTTGATAGTTTTGCACAGATATAATGTTCACACTTTCATTTCTGCCCATCTGAAGCACTGGCAAGCCGTTTTGACTTTTATTCCTTTCCACGATATGGATTGCTGATATCAACCATTCAATTTTCACTAGTTAAAATGATCATTCTTCATATCAGGAATTAGATTTCTACTAGTAACAATTGCAATTTTTGATATCGGGAATTACATCTGGAAATGAATAAAAGTAGGCTTGCCGGAGAGGCATATGTCATCTCTTTCTCTTTCTGTGTAGATCTGATGTGGAGTTCAAGCTGTCTCTAAACGGGACAGAGGAGCTTTTGGACACGGGACAGACGCTGGCCTCCTCTGGGGTTGTTTCTGGAGATATGATCAGTGTGATTTTGCCCCAGAGCAGCTCTCAGCAAACACAAACTGCCCCAGAAACCCCGAGTAGAGCAGAAAACACACCCGGCTCCAGCGAGGAGGTCAGATCCCACCCTCATATATATCACTGTTGGACAGTAGGATTAAAATAATACAGTCAAGACCATTCAAACATAAACACACACACACATGTGCAAACAAAAACAAACACACACAAACACACACAATTTCAATATCTAATCTCTCTCTCTCTCTCTCTCTCTCTATATATATATATATATATATATATTGACATTTGTTAATATGAGATTTTGAATTTTGACATTTGTTAATATGAGGTTTTGAATTTAGTGCATTAAACAAACTATAATATACACAAAATGTTGTGCATTCATTTCATTACCACAGTTTTTATTATTATAAAAGTTGCATTGAATCATAGAATAAAAAAAACAGACATCAGAATTTCTGAAAAATAAAACCTTTCATAGGGCACTATTATTTGTTAAATTTTTTGTGAATCATTAAATTGTTCAATTTTTATGAATTAGACCTAATATTATAATGATTAAAAATGAATTAAACCATTAAAAAAGAATCCAGATAAATGAAAACAGTCAACATAGAATTTCTAGAATTTCTCTATTATGGTTCAATTTAAATTGTTAAAGTTTTATGCATTCGATTGTATTAGACATCCTTTTTGATTTGTGAACTTTTATTTTAAAAATGTAAACATAATGTAAAAAGCGATTTCACAGGTCCCTAAAAGTGCATTGCTGGCATTATTTAATAAGCATCAACAACCAAAGAAAAGAAACTGAAATGACAAACACCCTGATTGTGTGTGTGTGTGTGTGTGTCCTGACTCAGGCCGGTGGCGCAGACAGCAGCAGTGCGAGGGATGCTGTGATGGAGGAGTGGTTGGAGGACGAGGAGTGTGTGTTCGCTCCTCCGCCGCTCCTGTGCTGTGAGACGGAGGAGGAGGGAGTGATTCCTCACGCGCTCGAGAGGCTCCTGGACTCAGCGACATGTAGAAACACATCAGACTGTCTGATACTGGCGGCACATTTACTCTTGCTGGAGACCGGCTTCCTTCCACAGGTCAGAGTTCACCTGATTCAATATAGTTTAATTCGATTCACGTTTATATGAGTTGTGCCGGTAATATGGCACATTCACACAAGTCTCACATTGGTTATTCTCCCTTTCAGGGTTCTAATGTGAACTCAGGCGAGATGCCGATTGGCTGGCGGGCGGCAGGGGGCGTGTACAGGCTTCAATACGCCCACCCACTCCTGGAGAACAGCCTGGTGTCAGTGGTTTCTGTGCCAATGGGCCAAACGCTCGTCATTAATGGTGCGTTAATCTGCATTAGGGGCGGAACGGTTCATGAAAATAATCGTTCGTTTCACTTGTCACGGATAGTCACATGTGTATTGTTCGGGTCCGGTGTGTTTCTAAAATAGGATCACCGTGGTCGCATCGCGTCTGGTTAGGACACGATGGGACAGTGACAAGAAAACCTATTCTGTAACCCCCCTTTTTTGAATAGACATGGAAATGCACATTTCGAACTTAAATGGTTGTAATTCAAGAATGCTTTGGAATATAGACATATGATTGGTCTTGTTTTAAAGAAGACATTTGGCAGATATTTGTCGAAGTGAAATAAATTAAGAAAGTGAAACAGACAAAAAGTTATAGAAGTTTGAGTTTATGGAAATGTATGCTGTAAAAATATGAATTATTTATATTTTATATAAAATATATATTTTCAAAACCTGGGCTACTCTAAAACTGCAGAAAAATCAAAGCCAAAAATCTGAACAAGTTGTGTTTCAAATCTTAGGTTGATATCTTAAAAAATGAGCTTTCAGTAAGATTTTGTTTGAGCGCAGTACCAAACTTTTCCACTAGGGCACAACCAGACTCCATTACTGCCCATATAAGGGCGTCTGCATTTCCATTCGTGTTTTGAGTGATATGAACCATTATTTCCACAATTTTTATACAATTTATGAAGTAGAGATCCTATTCAGAAGTAATATGGGAAGTTTGGCAGATTCTGAAATGAATTCAACCTCTAAGAAACACAAATCCTACAGCGAACCAAAGTCATAGCTCGCTGACACGTCACAAATGGTGAATTTATTATTTTTTTTCTTCATATTTCAGACCTTTTTTTCCAAAATAATTAAATGGATGTTATCTTTTGAACTTTTGGCAAGAAAACAAACTGAGGTATCTAACATTTTTTCATGATTTTTCATGTTCACTGCTATTTTAAAATAAAGGTCTGAACTCGCTTTATGAGTATGAAAATATTCTTGTTGCATATTGATAAATTATGGTTCCTCTGTAATATATTTTGAAAATCAGTCACCAAATATGTAAACTAGAGATTGTAAGCTTTCAAATGATATATAGTTTGTCAATATTATTTAAGGTATTTACTAAGATATTATTGTTTTAAAAATATAGTGGCAAATGTCCCACCTGTGGGACGGTGACAGTTAAGTTTTGACAATAAGTGTTTTTGTTCTCAGCTAGTAAACTTTTTTACAAATAAATGAAAAGGCCGTTGAAACGAACAACATCTCCCCGTCCGCTCTATCAGAATCTCACAGATTTATGATTGTCAGTGTCGCAGTAATGTGTTTATTCATAAGATCAAGCTGCCTCATTCTTTCAGTTTTTCGATTACATGATCTTGAGAATAACTTATTTTTTTAATACTGTAAATGGTAGGTTATATTTATGCTGATGTATGGTATTTCTGAAGTGTTTATTCTCTCTGTTGTGAAACAGCTGTTCTTAAGATGGACAAGACTATGGAGAATTCTCGCAAGCTGGCGCTGAAACCAGATGCTTATGTGACAGCTGATTGGGCAGGTACGTTTTATGATGAATCTTCTGTATTATGTGTATTATTCCCGAGCACACAACTGAAAACATTGTGTTTTCATGTTCTCATCATAATTGTGTGTAGCCTAAATGACTGGCACTGTGTTTTCCTTTTTGATTCCAATCCTATTTCAAGCCCATCATGTTGAACAGTGCGCATCTGAAGGAAATTATACATTATTTATCAGCTTTTATAATGGATCCCTAATATTTTGTCAACATTGGACAAAGATATTTTGATTACACATTACAAGGTCAAAAATGTTTTAAGGAGAAAATACTCAGACTTATGCATTTACACATGGTTTGACTTAAAGAATTTTAAAAACACCACAGACATATAAACCAAAAATGTTTGTTCCACAGTGTGATTTTCTATTGTGGTTGACTTGATGCTCACAGATGAAGTCGTCTCTTTCCGCAGGCGGCAGCGCAGTCGTCGTCTACAGAGACTTAAGAAAACTGTCTCGTCTCTTTAAAGATCAGCTGGTGTATCCGCTCATGGCCGCCGCCAGACAGGGTGATGATTCCTCTCGCGATGCGTTCAGACTGGTAACGTGTGTCCGTTCAGAGTGTTTTATGGCTGTGTGTGTGTGTGTGTGTTGCAGCGCTGGGTCTGCCGGCTCTGTTCGGTCTGGCTGTTCTTCCTCCTGAGCTTCTGTTGCGTGTGTTACGGCTCCTGGACGTCGTCTCTCTCGTCTCGCTGTCGACTGTGTGCCGAGACCTGAACGTCGCTACCCAAGATCCTTCACTCTGGAGACACCTGCTGCACAGAGACTTTAGGGGTATCTATCTATCTATCTATCTATCTATCTATCTATCTATCTATCTATCTATCGTTCTATCTAGCTATCTATCCATCAATCTACCTATAAATGTCTATCCATCTATCTATCCATCCATCCATCTTTCCATCCATCCATGTATCTATCTATAAATGTCTATCTGTCTATCTATCTATCTATCTATCTATCTATCTATCTATCCATCCATCCATCCATCTATCTATCTATAAATGTCTATCTATCTATCCATCCATCCATCCATCTTTCCATCCATCCAAGTATCTATCTATAAATGTCTATCTATCTATCTATCTATCTATCTATCTATCTATCTATCTATCCATCAATCTATCTATAAATGTCTATCCATCTATCTATCCATCCATCCATCTTTCCATCCATCCATGTATCTATCTATAAATGTCTATCTATCTATCTATCTATCTATCTATCTATCTATCTATCTATCTATCTATCTATCTATCTATCTATCTATCTATCTATATATCCATCCATCCATCCATCCATCTTTCCATCCATCCATGTATCTATCTATAAATGTCTATCTATCTATCTATCTATCTATCTATCTATCTATCTATCAGACAGATGAAGTGTAACTGTAAGTGTTGTGTGGTTTTGCAGTGCGTTTTTCTGCAGGAAATCAACACAGAGACACAGACTGGAGAGAGGTGAGCAAAACATCTGTCAATCATATTTATAAACATCTCTTATAGCATTGGCACTCAATAATAATAATAAAAAAAAAAACGAAATTACTTATGATCATGTTCTGCAAAATTATAAACAAAACATTAATGGCAATGTAATATTCAATTTAGCAATTTATTCATTTTTAATATCTATCACACAATCTAAATGTTGATTATTTTTGTATTATTTAAATGTATAAATTAAATGTTATGATGTAATAATGTCACAAAATAAAAACCAAATTGAAACTGATAATAAAAGGATTTATGAACGGAATAATTTCTCACTGACCCTCGAGTCACCAAACAATCTAAACTGAATAGTTAATTTGATTACTTTTATAAATGCTATTCTAAACTCTAAGCTCTGCTTTTCAACTTTCCAATATTGAGTTGACTTGAGATGATTATTAACACTGGTGTGATAGTGCTGAATTGAACTCATTTTATAATTGATGGCCTTTACATAATTGATCTGAATAATGACAGCATTGTCTCAAAAAAGTTTGAAACCGTCTGTATTGTATAAAGCTGACATGACTTTTCTTTTTGCCCTCAGCTTTACAAAAAGAAGTATAAACTGAAGAATGTACACAGATGCCGTTTCTACCCACACCACGTTCCTCCGATTTTCCCTCTTTCCCCGTTCCCGTCCCCCCCGCTCCCGCTCCCGCTTTACCCTCCCGGCATCATCGGAGGAGATTACGACCAATCACCTGTCCTCCTGCCCCGCCCACGCTTCGACCCCATTGGCCCACTCCCGGGTCACCTCCCCGGAACGAGCGTTCCCATCGGCCGACATAATCTGCGTCCGGGAGGGAATCGACCAGCAGACGTCAGGAGAGGTTTCATTTGAGCTCCTAAAGACTGTAGACGATGAAATTATTTTGATGATGATTTTTTTTTTGTGTGTTCATTAATTAAAGCATTCCTGGGACGTTCAGACCAGCAATTCAGTGTGTGTCTGTGTGAGGGAATTAAAGCAGCAAACACACGCCAGTGCAGCAACTCTTTTACATTTAAAGGGACACACACGTTTTTGCTCACCCTCATAATGTGACAATTTTAACATGATATATAAAATATGCGTGGGGTATTTGAGCTCAAACTTCACAGTTCACATACACACTTATGTGTGTGTGTGAAGAATGCAAACGGAAACTTCTTTTACATCTTATGAAAATGGTATTGTACTACCACCCCTTTAAAAATAGGAATAATTCACCCAAAAAATTAACTATTTCCTTTATTAAGACATTACATTTGAAGAAGCAAGAGCTTGTGTGCGAATAAACATTCAATCAAAAAGTTTGTGAGTAGTTTGTGAGCCCGTGAAGAAGAGCGTCCCGAGCCCGAGATGGGGCAGCCCGTCAGCAACATCTCCATAACCACCTGGAGGAGACGGAGACAGGGGTCAAGCATCATACTTGCTTTCATTCATTACTCTAAATATTAGCAACTTGTGTTTTAAAAAAACAATTAACAAAGTTTACAGTCAAATTGTAAATTATAACAGCCTTTTTTTAATTGGTTGAAATAATATTATAATAATTATTATTTTCATTGTATGGTTTAACAATAGTATTATCAAATGTTATTTTTTATACTACAACCGTAATATTTCAGTCTTCCTGTTTATTAGTTTAAATAATAATGATGTTATTATATGGTTTGATAATATTAGAATTATTATCAGGGTTAGGTATTATTATTGATATTATTATCATTAGTAATTATTATAGTTCTAAAACTATGGAATGAAGTGAGTAAGTTTAAGTCCATTCAAGATATTTTTACCTGATGAAATATAATATACAGTGCTCAGCTTTAGTGGGAAAATGCATATTCTCCTCAATAACACACAAAAGCACACAATATTCAACCCTAATAAAGTTGTCAGATGTTTTGCTTGTGCTTGCAATCAATTAAAGTCAATGCTTTTGGTTATTTTGGCAATTTTGCTTTGTGCATTATTATCATTTGGTGTATTTCATTTATTTTTTTGGGCCTGTCGTTATACTGAACAACTGTGGACGTGGACTATTGGTACATTTATGATAATATCTACGAAATTTCTTATTTTAGGACACTATGAATCTGCTTCACCAATCCCTTTTTAATGAATTTCAAAAGAATTTGGACACCATTTCATCTTCAGTAAATAAGAAAGCATGTAGAACGACTTACATTTGCAGTGCCTTTGCTTTGTATACTTTAATTGATGTAAATTATATATATATATATAATTTTCGTTTTCTTCATTTATTAGGAATATTACATTATATTTTTCTGTCGTTAGCAATTAATTCACTTTTTCCTCAGTGTATTACAATGGGTTTATTTTTGTTCAATTGTTTGAATACACAAAAAGTGAGTATTATAAACGTGACAACTTTGTTTAGCCTTAATAAGACAAATAATATCGAGCGATGCGGGTCAGAGGTCACGCTAGAAGTTCGCACCTGATTCCATCCTGCTGTTTTCTGACGGTCAGAGAGGAAGAATCGGAGCTCATCTTCCTCATCCAGATCCTCCAAAACTCCCCGCTGGACTTCAGAAGGTTTTATATTTAATCACTGCAGATAAAGTATATAAGCACGGGGTAGTGAAGACAGTGACAACACCGGAAGTGAATTTGAGCTGTTCTCCAAAATAAAGGTCTTTTTTTTTTTACATGGAAGATTTGCCAACAAATACATCGTGGATTAAAGTCCATATTTTGTTACATTCAACATAAAATAACTTAAAATAACATTAAATATTCTCGCTGCATATTTTATTCTGTTGCGCTTATATTTTTTCTGTTATTAAAGCGTCTGAATCAACGAGGCTTTAAAAGAATAATTCTTAATCAAACTAGTTTTCCTCTAGAGTTCAATATTATGAAGCTGAATTCTGGTGTGTGTTCAAATGAAATGGAAAAAAAGTTCAAATGAATATTAATCTCTCCACGAGCCAAAGTAGAATTGAGTCAAAAAAAAATTGTGTGTGTTCAGGAGGAAATCTTAGGAAAAGTAGCCAAGTCTTGTACCGCTCAGATCAAGGGAAGTATATTTAAAAATAAATCAAAACTATTTTGCCCACATTTGTCCAGAATACGGTTTTAGGGTTAAGACGAACATTTGTTTTTATCTGGACGCCCTCCTGTGGTGAACTGTGTGAATTACACTGCTGTCATTTTACCCATAAACATTTAAAGATTTGAGTCAGCGAAATAGATAAATCGACTCTGCAAGAATTCTGGTGTGTGTTCAAGTGAAATGAAAAAAGTTCAAATGAATATTATTCTCTCCACGAGCCAAAGGTAACGTTAAGTTAGAGTATAATTTAATATTGAACCAAACATGTATGACGAGTCACGCAGGTCCTGTGCTCCTCCGCAGCGGTAAGACCAGAACCAGTATAAAATAGTCCGAATATAAACACTTATTATAGGTGTACCACAGTGATTCAGGATAAGACAAAGCACGATTTGGACAACTGATTCATGTACTCGCTCACTATATAACCTTTGAACATTTTGAACACAAAAAGTTAAGCACTAAAACTTTATAACAAGGCAACTTAGCCAGTCGCCCTCCTGTGGTGAATTGTGTGAATTACACTGCTGCAACTTATTCCTACAGCTGTGACTGCAGTCCAGGCTGTATCACACACGCTTTATTCCTGACGAGTGTTTAAAGTCTCGAGTTATGATGATGATGATGATGATGGATGATGTCACTCTTCAGCTTTGCTTCTTTCACTTTTATCAAACCATGTATGTATATATATAACGCATTACACTATCAGCAAATGTATCTATATGATGATTTTGATAATAACTAATAATTGTGCTATACTGAAAACATGAATGTTGTGGACGCTTGAAGATATGCAAATACAGTCGGATGTCATAAATGATACGTCATACTTCTGCTGTTTTTAGAATAACCTGGCGAAAATATGAAAACATTATTTAGTCTAGTTTATGAATCTTTAAGCATTGAGAGTGTGGCTAAAGTCAGGCTTTGTCAGATTTAGCTGAATATGTATTTTTTTAATGAACTGAATCATGAACTGTTGCTCAAAATAATAAACACAACTGGCTGAGGAATGATTTATTCATATTTAATGCCTGTGTAATATTTCCTTTTTAAAAGCCGATACGTCTGTTTGTTATTATACTTAATTAACTTATAGGGTTAATTGTATTTGATGTTTTCTAACTGAACCATGACTGACCAAACACACACTCTCATAAGGATGTGTTAATTAATAACACATTTTGTGCGATTTTAAGTTGATCATGTGTAAAAAGAAAAATAAACAGAGAGAGAGAGAGAAACAACACAGTGTGTCCAACATGTGTTAACTATCATCCAATCACATTGCTGCAACGTCACACTGTACATGGCTGATGGCTCTGCAAGAAACAAGTTCGGATGCACGCGTCAGGTAATTCTATTGATTTTTTATTATAAATTGTCAAATGTTTTGTATCATAGTTGTTATGTTTTTCGACGGTAAAATGTGTATTTAGTTGGCGACCTCTAACTGTTTACCGTTACTTTCCGATGACGCGAGAGGCTTGAACTTGAACAAGGCCGCAACGGCATCTAAGTTAATAGTGCTTCACAAATGATTTTTATTTTTCCTCATAAACTTTGGTAGGTTTGTCCCTCACTTTCTAGAGAGAACTCATTTTTAACGATTGTTTTTTCTTTGTTTTTTTAGTTGCAAATGGCATGATGTCTGATAATATGCTGCAGCTCGTTAACGAGCATAGATATATACACTAGACTAGACGTCACCTTGGCTACGGCAGTTCATTGGAACGAATGCGTCAATAGAGCCGCCATCTTGAAACAGGGGAGCTCCTCCACTTTAATGCATGAGCGTCAATGTAGTAGACACAGGTCTAACGCAAATAAAATCACCATAAATTATCATGAATGCGATTTTTCTTGTTTTTTTGGTTCGTTCCAACGGTCAGACATGTATTTATCATTGATTCCAGAAATAATTTTTTTTTTAAACATTCTTCCTAGTTCAGATTTCATCCGTGAACATCATAACGCTGCACAAAAGTCCGCCACCATCAATGAATTCGAAGTAAAGGCAGAGATAGCAGCGTTACCTAGCTACTTCCTATGACAAGACCCCTGTTCCAAGATGGCGGCGGTTTTGACGTATGCTTAGAACCCCAAGGTGAGGTCTAGTGTATATGTCTACCCAGATAGCAGACTGACATTGAATCAACGTGGAAATATGACATCGAAACAACGTTGATCTGACATTGTTTTGCTCATCGAATTAACGTTGAACCAACGTCAGATGCGTCATTCTTTCAAAACTAACGGAAAATCAACTTGAAATCAACGCGTTGTTTCAACGTTATGAAAGCAAACCAATTTTCGATTTCATTTAGCTTTGAAGAATGCCGCGTCTGACGTTGGTTCAACGTTAATTCGATGAGCAAATCAACGTTGTTTCAATGTCATGAGAGACGTCGTTTCCACGTTGATTCAATGTCAGTTTGCTGTCTGGGTATGGTTAACGAGTTTCACAAACTAACGTTACCGTTAACTTAGTGGTTACGTCCCCACTTTCGCCTCTCTTTATTAAACAACAGAATTTATTGATGTTTAGTTAAATGTATAATATTAAGATTAACATGATTTATCAAGGTAAAGTTAAAAATTTGATTAACTAACGTTACGTCATTGACACAAATTGTGTAATAATAACACATTTGTGTGTAAAATTATCAAGAATAACACATTGTTTAGTTAAAAATAACACAAAATGTGTGGCCTCAACACAAGTTTAAAAGTGCATTGTAATAGAGGGTTTTCACCATAGACAGTATAAGAAATGGACAGAGCGATCTCATTGGAACTCCATTCATTGAGACGATTGAAGCCCGTTTTTGGCGATTTTTTTTTTTTAGCACTTCTGTCCCTGACGCGCAGACTCAAACAGAGCTTGACGACGTAGATGTGACGTGAGTAACCTGTCTGTCTCCTAGTGCTGTGGCATGACAAATCTGAATCATTCCCTTCCCAAAACATGCAGAGGCGGAGAGTGTGAGGAACTGTCCATGAGCGAGGAGAAGGAGACACTTTTGCTAGGTATTCTGATTAATTATTTTGTCATTTTGCCTCCACGTTTCCCCGATTGCCCGCGAGCTTCTTCTCATGTCCATACGGTAATCTCTCTTCTGTGCGACAGAGATTCGCGTGGGTATGACGCAATCGTTTTGCAGTCATACTGCAATTGCAGCGCCAAATTTTGACAAACTAAAGGTAATATGTGGTAAAGGTCCGAACGAGCTAGCTTCTCTAGCCCGTAACGTTACTGCAATTCTTCCTTCTATTTCTTATCCCGCTACGTTTAGATTGTCAGTCCAAAAAGCACATGAAATCCGTTTCAATCCGCCAAATTTGTGAGTCCGTTCAGTTCAATGGCATTGTTCATGTCCAGTGCCTCCAAGATGGCCTACTTCCGGATTGATGACACTTCATGAAAACCCTCTTCGCGTACTAGTACACTAACGTTAACTTAATAATTAAGTTAATAACTTAATAAATTAACTTAATTAGTTAGATTAATAAAACGGGTTTAAGAACGTTTTACTGCTTTTAAAATGTTTCAAAAATGTTTGTTCTTGGTTCTTCAAACACTGGGAACGATCTGAAACAAGTAGCCTAAAACTAAAAAAAATATTTAAATTCCGGATTAAATGTTTAAAAAACATTTGATTGATGTGTAAATAATATTTTTGTGCTAAATATTTAAGAACATTATTAAAGAGCAGATACCGCTGAATAAAAGTTATTGGTGTGTGTGTGTGTGTGTGTGTTCAGTTCTTCACCATCTGAAATGCAGCTGGAGGTCGAAGCTTCTCTGAAAGCTCATAAATCAAACAGTCTGGGAGGCAGTAACACACACACACACTTATAAAATAAAGTATAATTTCAGTGTTCACAGACGCAGGTTAATGTTCATCAGATGCTGGTTCTGCCCCGCGCTCATGGAATGCCTCAATTAACTATTGAACAGTTTGATTACCAGGTGTGTGTGTGTGTGAGAGTGAAAGAGAGAGTCTGAGTGAGTGATTCTCTGAGTGTGTGTGTGTGTGCCATCTGTTGATCACGGCACAGCAGCGTTCGATACAGAATCCTGTACATGGTGCAACATCTCAGACGGGACACATGAATTCACTGAGACACCGACACACACACACACACACACTCTCTCTCTCTCTCTCTCTCTCTTACTCACTCACTCAAACACACACACACTCCCAGTCTCTGAAGGCCCATCTGCTTGAGTGACCTGTAGTAATTAGTTATTAATCTTCACATGAGACAGACCTGAGCTAGAATACATTACCACGCTTACCGAGACACAACAGGACACACAGAGGAGCGGAGAGGCGTCGGGGGTGGGGTGGAGAGGGGTGAAGGGGCGGGGCTAACCAGTGTGAAGAGGGAGGGGCAAACTGGGATGTTATATCCCATAGAAAGCCATAAAGTCCCCTTTAAGAGTAAGTGTTAAATGCATCATCCACAAGTATATAGGTGTGTTTGGGTTATTTTAAAATAAATAAATTATAATTAATATATCATAGAGTGTGTTTGTTGTGGTGGTGATTAGACGATCTGTGGTTACATCACAATCCTACTGCATTGTGGGACATATAGATCCCTGAAGTGTACAGGGACCCTCGGTCCAAATCGAGAGAACGAGTGTCTGTCCATTTAAGCTTCCCTCGTTCGCTTCACAAAGTGTAAGGCACTTCAAAATGGCGGATTCCCCCGAGGGTAAGTGCGTAGGGAGGTTTGCAAGTGCGTGTGGAACGCAGCCCTAGTGTGATGTAATGAAGAATGTTTCAACAATTCATTACTAGTTTATGGAGCTTGTCTATTTACATTTATAGATTTACTAAATCATTCTAGGTTACTGCTCAGGATTTGTTAAGTGGTTGCTAGGGTGTTGCTATGCATTTATTCAAGTGTTTTGTGTGTTTTAACAGGTGGGAGGGTTTATTATCATACTGGCATGTGGTCGCTAGTGTGTGTTAGTGTGTTGTGGCGACCACAGGCGGTTACGCGTTGCTTGGTTACCGAGGCTATGCTGTGCGGTTGCTATGACGCTCTGGGTACGGTTCTTATGCACTGTTGTTGGTTTCACTGCGTTGCTATGTGGTTGCTAGGGTCTTGTGGTTTGTTGCTGAATTTGTTGTTGTATTGAGTTTAATACTTAGTGCTTATTGGTTTGATCACATTACTAGGATTTGTGTACTATCCTTGTGAGATTGCGTGTGTGTAAGAGGTGTGTGTGTATGTGTGTGAGTCTGAGTGTGTGTTTAAATCTGAGTGTGAGTATGAGAAAGAGTGTGTGTGTGTGTGTGTGTGTGTGTGTGTGTGTGTGTGTGTGTGTGTGTGTGTGTGTGTGTGTGTACACGTGTGTGTGTGTGTGTGTGTGTGTGTGTGCACACAGGTTTGGAGCTGTAATGCATCATGTGAATGCCTTAGAGGCATTTGTGGGTGAGAGGCCCGAAACACACGCACACACACGTGTTTAACATCTGGACGTGACATCAGACCGTGATTTCTCTGGCGTTCTGATTCTCGCGTCACAGAAACTGCAGCATCACATTATTCTCCCGCAGAACTACACACTGCAGCCGCACACACACACACATGTTTTATGCATGTCCAAACGTACCGGTCACATTCACACACGTGCAGGAATCAAGGGAGTGTGATGTGAACCGTTTCATGAGAGTAAAAACCACTGATCAAGTGCAAATCCAGCTCTCGTGAATATCAATGCATGAAAACACACTTCTAACATCAGGAAACACACACTTCTGGATTTATTGAGTTGATTGTATATAAAATTTAATTTCACTTGACAGAGTTGATCATTTCGGGAGGGAAAACTACAGGAAAAATATGACACCTCAAATTCTCAAATTATATTCTGCACAAACAAAATGAAGCTGGTAATTTTTTATTATAATAATCATATTCTCATTACTGTACTGATCACTTTAATAGTGTTTTTTCTATTTTGCATGTTTTATTGTCTATTAAAATTTTTTTTTTAAATTTGCAACCAATGATCTGTTGACTTTCTCGATCTCATAATTTTGCCGTTTAAGCTCATAACTGACATAAATCAAAATTACGACTATCAAAATTTCAATTTATGCTCATAGTTTTGAATTTGATTCTCATAATTTAAATGATTATCTCTTTCGATTCTAAATACTGTAAACAAATAATATAAATTTGTGAAAGGCAGTGCAACCAATGATCTGTAAACACTGCACAATTGCATCACAATAATGAGAATTAATGTGAAAATGTCCTTAATTGACATTTTTTAAACACACTTGATTTTCTTCATGCAGAATATAATCCCCTCGACTGAGAGTGACTCCGGATTCTTCCTCTTCCTCGGCTGAGAGTGACTCCGGATTCTTCCTCCTCCTCGGCTGATCAGTGAGTGTTTCCCGTCAGCTGCCGTTGCTGATGATGACGGATGTGCCGTTGTGTGTGTGTGTAGTGCTCGTCTGAAAGTGCACGTGTGAGTTCACATGGTAAGGACTGGTCCCGTCCTGGCCGATCCGGGGCCCCGGGGCCCCTCTGCACCCCATGGAGGAGAACAGCACCGGGGAGGGGTAATCTCTCATCTGAACGTCCTCCACTTTAATCATCTCCTGTTTGGCTCTGATCCGGGTCTCCATCCTCTCCGGATCCCGAGGGGTCGAGCGAAACGGTCCGTTGTCATGGCAACTGTCTCCGGAATCACCCGACGACGCTCCCGGTGAGCTGACCGCACGCTCCTCGTCCCAGTGAGCTGTCGGCGAAACACACACACACACACATTCAGATTGTCGTTTACTGAACTGCCAGTGCACTGATCTGCAAATATACGAAGACGATCTGAGTGATTTCACATCAAAGTAATGAGAATTATGGGAAGAATTATATATATACTGTATATATATATATAAATACACACGTGCATGTATATATTTATATAAAAAATATAAAAATTGTTTTTTACACATAAAATATTTATATTAATATATAATTTAAATTACTTATAAATACAGTATATACATGAAAATATTTTTTAAATATATACATGCGTGTGTGTGTGTGTGTTACTATATACAAAATAATTATACCCAGCGCACACACACAAGTATATTACGTAAATGAACTTTTATTTTGGATGTGATTAATTGTCGCTCAGCACTAATTTAAATATAAACATGAATATCAATGACTTTATCGGGAACAATAAACACCAGTGTGCCAATTTACAATAATTAACACGTGGCCAAGATGACGTCATGTAAAAGTGGTTTTGATGAGAGATTATGATTCCCAGCATTAAATAAACTTCCTCAATATTAAGGAATCCTAAAAACGATCATGTTTCCACAAATCTTCGTTTTTTTTAAAGTGTGTGTGATTTATGCGGGGTCATGTGACTTGTTCGTCCAATCACTGACCGTGAGTTTGATGAAACGCTCGTCCGTCTCGCGCGGCGTCCCACCATCCCTCTCTCACGCCCAGCGGTGTGTGTGTGTGCGCGGTGTGCATGTGCATCACGTCAGCCTGAGCGAGGCCGTAACACACTCCCGCCGCTTCTGACGGGTCCGGGCGCGGGGAGGCGGAGTCAGGCTGAGGGCTGCCGTCCCATTGGCTGTCGTGATCCGAGTCCGAGCGATCCGGCGGGAAGCCCGAGAACGGCTGGACACAGAACCGAATGAAAATATCACAAATTATTCAGACAGAAGTTTGTGTTTACATAATACAATTGTAAAAAAAAAAAAAAACTCTAAAATTATAAAAATTGTAAAAATTTGAAAATTTTTCATATTTTTTCAGTAAGTGTGATCAGGACACTATAGATAATTTAGTGAGGAGAGCAAATTTCGGACCAAAAATTAAAAGTTAATAAACTGTGATAGTGTGAGAAATGTTGAAGGTGTGTGTGTGAGACCTGTGAGTAAGGAGAGAGAGAGATCTTGCTCCTGGCGTTGGGCACTGGAGGTTTGTCCTCGCGCTCGTGATGGTTTGTGTACGGGAACGCTGGTTTACTGGGATTCAACTGGTCCAGAGACAGCAGCAGGCCTTTATATTCAGTGTCCCTAAACACACACACACACACACCCTCATGTTTTAACACTTTATAACACTGTTCCGTCTTAATGAATAACTACACAGGAACGAATGAGTAACGCACTTATTTAGCACTTATAAATCAAGTGTTACTATATCCTATATTAATACTAATTATGTAGATCAGTATCTAAAGTCAACAACATTATAACTCCCTAATATCGACTGAAGTTATTGTTATTTTATTAGATTTTGAATAGTAATTTCTTCTGATGGATTCGGTGACTTCAGCCATGACTGGTGTGTGTTCCCATGATCTGCACCCCTAGATAATGAATGAATAGTTCCTTTAGAAAACTGTAGTAAACCTTGAGTCATTACTAATGAGTTACCTTATATAATATATTATTATTAGGGCTGTCAAACTATTAATCACGATTAATCACATCCAAAATAAAAGTTTTTGTTTACATACTATATATGTGGGTGCACTGTGTATAATTATTTTGTATATATAAATACACACACAATATTTTTTTTAAATATTTAATACCAGCATGTGTGTGTATTTATATATAGAAAATAATTATACACAGTGCACCCACATATATATATTATGTAAACAAAAACTTTTATTTTGGATGTGATTAATCATGATTAATCGTTTGACAGCCCTAATTATTATTATTCATATTATTTATGAACCTGTATATCGTAGTTCTCTATGGAAAAAAATAGTAGTTATTGATGAGCTAAGAGTGAACCTGAGCGCTATTACTGATGCGTTAATGAGAGTTTGTTGTTAGTGATTAGCAGTCACTCGAGTGTTAACTGCGTTACTCGTTAGTTCCTGTGCAGTTACTCATTAATGAAGGAAGCGTTTTATTGTGATGATGTCACTGACTGTGACCCCTGAACATGAGTCCTGAGCACTTGTGAAACGTCTCTCATTGATTTCACACCTGTGGTTTTGTGTTGGTGACCTTTGACCCCACACTGGGACAGACAGTAAACATTTTTCGGCTCTTATCATCGTTTGCATAATGAGAAGCCGGTTTCATCATCTGTGATATTGATATTGTACTGTGAGTTTCAGATGACCTCAGTTTGACCCCGCACTTTAAATAAGAGTTCATCATAACACTACAAAACTTAAGCTCTTTTACTTTGTACGTTAACTTAAAATCTGCAGCTTTTAAATCTCATTTGTATATTCAAATTTGGCGTGTGAAAACGTGTTTATACATCATAAAGTTAAACACATCTCCACAATGTAAGACACGAGGGTGAGTAACGATTGAAATACTGTCGCTTGTCCCCTGGTCACAGGTGTGTGTGTGTGTGTGTGTGTGTGTGTGGGACTCACGTGAGGACGTAATTGACGCTGACGATGCAGTGCGGTCGAGACGAACGACTGTTGTGGACGATTGTGGCGTAACTCTGAACCCAAACCCATCCGCCATGCTTCGACAAGAAGCGGTAATACTTCGTGGTGACCTGTCCTTTCACAAGCACTACACACACACACACACACACAGAGATCACATTAAACATATAGCTCATGTTTCTCTTTACATTAGATAATGTTACACTGATAGAAGAGAAGGTTCTATATGGAACCTTAAAGGGTTCCATCAGATGATATATGTATATATATATTATCAGATGATATATTATGTATATATATATAATATATATACATATATCATCTGATGGAACCCTTTAAGGTTCCATATATATAATATATATAATATCTATATATATAAATATAGAAACTTTCCATCACACTGTGCACCTTTGAAAGCTTTCAAGCACAGAATAAAACATAAAAAACTTTTTATCTCGCAATTCTGAATTCATATCTCGCAATTCTGACTATATCTCGCAATTCTGGATTTATATCTCGCAATTCTGAATTCATATCTCATAATTCTGAATTCATATCTTGCAATTCTGAATTCATATCTCGCAATTGTGAGAAATAATGTCAGAATTGCAAGATGTAAACTTACAATTGTGAGATAAAATGATGCAATTATATTTTAAAATGTTTTATTCTTTGGCGGAAACGAGCTTCTATAGTGCCATAGTCAAGCGCACTGAACAAACATATTATCCTCTCTGACGCGATATATACAGGATATATATATGAATAACAGTAGCTCATTAGAAGTGAATAACAGTGTGTTACTGTATGATGCAGACTCACACAGATGATGAGCGCAGCGCAGGTGAAAACTGTCACAGCTGTGCACGTGATGATACAGGGTCTTCTCAATCAGGTCCTGTGGCTCATATCCTGTCAGCTCTGAAACCCTTATAGATCAGAACACACTAGAGTCAGCACTGACCCTGAAACACATCAAGCTCTTCCTCTCAGTCTCGTTTTACAGCGCTAATATCTCAACATTCTCCAATCAAGATGCATTACTGGAGGAGAACGACGACCGGAGAAATCAAGATGTGAAACATGCATCAGTTTGTGTTTAAAACAAGAACAACAAACAGGATTAATTGCCTGATTTCTATTGGCAGATATTTGTTCTTGTTTTAAACACAAACTCACTTCATTTTGATGCATTTTTCAGAAAACAAAACTTTACAAGCTAACATAAATATATCCCATGAATGTGTTTCCTTGAACGTTACGGGGACAGAGACACTGTATCATTCTTCACACATTATGGAACGTTACTTTTGAATCTGAAACATTTAAAAACCGTTACATTAAAAAACAAACACCAACTGAAAAAGTACAATTATTTTGATTTAAGAATGTTTCGATATATGCACTGCAACGAGACTGAAACTCTGATGTGTGTGCGGTGTGACGTGTGTATTACAGCGCACGCTCCACCTTGAGTCCAGGAATATGAGCTTCATGTCCAGACTGGCCCGAAACATGAACATGTTGCTGTGAAGTTTGATCTCGGTGACGGCGCTGGGCGGTAGAGTGTGTCCGACCGCCACCAGACCCACGTTCTGATAGCAGCCGTCGAACAGAGCCGAGTCCAGCCCGAACGGCCGGATCTTCAGATACCCACTGCAGTGGATCACCTGAGGGTCAAAGGTCAACTCTTACGCTCTTCGGCACATCACTAAAGCCTAACTCGAAATATTAGTCAAGTGTTACCTTATATCCTCCACTCGTGAGCCCAGCGTTACGTTTGGCCAAAACACATTTCATCCTCAAGAAGAACGACCGCTCAACTTCGTACTCTAAAAGGAGAATAATTCACATTCATCAACTTGAGTTCTGGTTTTCACTAAAAAGTCCCCCTGTGGTGTAAATCCAGCGTTTAATGTTGTTTATTGTTCATTATGTGGTGTTTTTAATACGTTTTAGGACAAATCATGTGTCGACAGCATTGCTGAGTATTGTAAGACAGTCTCAAAAACACGCTTTGAAATCGCTGGTGTTTCTGACGTCACAAACGAGCTCGTAACCAATCAGTTCAACATGTGATCGTCAACCAGTGGATCTCTGAGTGAGGGAGTGAGTGAGTGGAGGCGGGGCTCATGTGCATATTCATAGATCCGCGCATACTAAATGAGGCAATGGTGTCGAGTTACATTCAAGAAATTTTAAGGCATGAAGAATTAATGATGCTTAAATATGTAATTTTGTGAAGTTTTAAGAGATAAAATGATTGACTACGGGGGGATTTTAAGATTATTATTGAACGGTCTTACAACATTATTAACCCTCTGGGGTTGTTCATTTCAGAGTCACACTCGGGGTGTTCGGGTCCAAATGGACCCAAAATTGCTGGATTCATATTTTTTTTAAAAAATATTTTTTTATTATTATATTTTTTCATAATATTTTTTCTTCAAAAGAAAATTTCAAAAAATAAATATATAATTAGTATTGATGCAATATTTATGACAAAATTTCCCCCCATTGAACATAATAGAAATTTTTTTTTTTAATTTTTTTTTTTTTTTTTTAAAGCTGTATTTCATTTTAGAGTCAAGCCTAGGCCTCATAAAAGCAATTTTTAAAATGAGATGGATGCCATCTGGTGGACAAACTGAGCATTTTAAAAATGCAAAACACATGTATAATCTGAATTTTTTGGTGTGTTTGTGTATAAAAGTGTGTGTGTGTGTGTGTGTGTGTGTGTGTGTGTGTGTGTCTGGATATGTCTGTTTTGCACTCTTGATGTTTTATAGATTCACCCCTTCACTGTTGTGTGCTTTTTTTCAAGATCGTGGCTGATTTGTAGATTGTACGCACAAAAAAACTCAGTATTTTCACATTTTTGCCAATTTCCCATTCATTTTCCATGCGGGTCCATTTGGACCCGAACACCCCAAGTGTGACAATTTTTTTTACAACCACTTAGACTACTCACATCCTGTCCCCAATTTTTTTGGGTGTTCAAATACCAAATAACAACAAAGTCACCAAATTTCAGACCACTCCGAGGAAGCTGTGATTTTAAAAAAACATTTATTTAAATTCTTCGGGTCCATTTGGGCCGAACAACCCCAGAGGGTCAAAGGAGTCATGAAATAATAACATTTTGACATTTAATAACATTAAAACATGCAAGTTTCAGAGCTTAAAACATCCTCTTCGTTATAAACAAAGCAGATTTAATCGAACTCAAAAACCTCAAAAACATGGTGGGATCTGTGATGTCACGTGGGCTAATTAATTTGCATATGCCCGCCTCCATAACAAGACATCGACCAATATGTTGTTCTAGATAAAGTGAGTTTGCAAAGCGTGTGTGATGTCTTACCTTGGACGAAGTGTGTGTGATACGCCGCTTGTGGCGTCAGAACCGCCGCCATCTCGTCATGATCGGCCGGATGAACATATTCATAAATGCTGTTTCCCGTCAGCTCTACCTGTGTGGAAGGACTTCTGTCATTCTACTGGAGCAATCGTGAGATCAAAATTCACAATATTTTCAAATATTTGATTATGGCGGAAACAAGCTTCCATAGAGCCGAACAAACATAATCACAAAACCACAAAGCCAGTCACTAGGGTTGAGATCTACACATCAAGCTCAATAAATGAGCTTTCCATTGATGTATGGTGTGTGTTTTTATTGAACATCTGGAATCTGAGGGTGCAAAAAAGTCAAAACATTGAGAAAATCTCCTAAAGTTGTGCATTTATGTTCACGATATTGCTTGTCCAAAAAAGAAATACATTTTTATACATTTACATAATATCTTCATAGAATATGATCTTGACTTGATATCTTAATGATTTTTATCATTAAAGAAAAATTGATAATTCTGACCCATACACTGTATTGTTTGCTATTGCCTCTGATACACCCGTGCGTCATGTGACTGGTTTTTTGGTCCAGCGTCTCACACACACACATACACACATGAACGTGGCATCCGTCAGATGTTAGTGTGTTCTTCACCTGTGAGAGTCCCAGATGAACCGACGCCGTCTCAGAAATATACATGATCTTTCCATCTGCAGCAACTACAAATATAAACCCGTCTAACGTCTGCAGATCAAGAATATCAGACGGGTCATGACCGGAACACACACACACACACAACGATCTGCAAACAAGCTTCGTTAGACACTGACAACCAGGCATGCGTGTTTCAGGGCTCCTCAGGTTACACTTTATATTACAATGTCCTTGTTACATATGTTACATGTACTTACCGTAGTAATAACAGTAAATTATGCGTAATTACATGCAAATAACCCTTAACCTAATCCTAACCCTAGAGTAAGCACATGTACTGTAGTTGCTTAATATGACTCAGTACTTGAATATATATTTACACAATGACACCATAAAATAAAGTGTAACCGTTGTTGCTATTTACATGTAAAACATTTCCTGAAGTATTTCTAAATTATTAAAGCCAATGATAATAATAAAAAAGTCTTCATATTACCTGGAGCATCTTGCTGATTATTACCTGGAGTAAATGCGATCCGAGCTCTTGTGCTGTGTGATCTCTAGATCGGGCTCGACCCCACACCTCCCCCAAACCTGCACACACACACACACACACACACATCTCAATAATCACACGTCTCAATCAATAACCCATAATCACACGTCTCAATCAATAACCCATAATCACACGTCTCAATCAATAACCCATAATCACACGTCTCAATCAATAACCCATAATCACACGTCTCAATCAATAACCCATAATCACACGTCTCAATCAATAACCCATAATCACAAGTCTTTATCAATAACCCATAATCACACGTCTCAATCAATAACCCATAATCACACGTCTCAATCAATAACCCATAATCACACGTCTCAATCAATAACTCATAATCACACGTCTCAATCAATAACCCATAATCACACGTCTCAATCAATAACCCATAATCACACGTCTCAATCAATAACCCATAATCACACGTCTCAATCAATAACCCATAATCACACGTCTCAATCAATAACTCATAATCACACGTCTCAATCAATAACCCATAATCACACGTCTCAATCAATAACCCATAATCACAAGTCTTTATCAATAACCCATAATCACACGTCTCAATCAATAACTCATAATCACACGTCTCAATCAATAACCCATAATCACACGTCTCAATCAATAACCCATAATCACACGTCTCAATCAATAACCCATAATCACAAGTCTTTATCAATAACCCATAATCACAAGTCTTTATCAATAACCCATAATCACACGTCTCAATCAATAACCCATAATCACACGTCTCAATCAATAACCCATAATCACACGTCTCAATCAATAACCCATAATCACACGTCTCAATCAATAACCCATAATCACAAGTCTTTATCAATAACCCATAATCACACGTCTCAATCAATAACTCATAATCACACGTCTCAATCAATAACCCATAATCACACGTCTCAATCAATAACCCATAATCACAAGTCTTTATCAATAACCCATAATCACAAGTCTTTATTAATAACCCATAATCACACGTCTCAATCAATAACCCATAATCACACGTCTCAATCAATAACCCATAATCACACGTCTCAATCAATAACCCATAATCATATATCTCAATCAATAACCCATGATCAAACATCTCAATCAATAACCCATAATCACATCTTTATCAATAACTCATATTCACACCACAGAAGGATTCTGCAGGTTTTGTGCACTTGGGTAAATATCATATACAACTTACATGTTTACATTCAGCTATAATTTAATCTGTTTTTAATTCAAACATTTTATAATATTTTATAAAATCAGAATTATAATTTTATTGTAATACTCATAATCCTTGTTATAACATTCACTTAGCCATAAGCTGTGTGTGTGTGTGTGTGTGTGAGAGAGAGAGAGAGAGAGAGAGAGAGAGAGAGAGAGAGAGAGAGAGAGAGAGAGAGAGAGAGAGAGAGAGAGAGAGAGAGAGAGACACTATCGATAGTGTGAGTGAATGTAAGCTCGTGAACAAACACTGCCGTCGGGAAAGCAAATCACGGACATCAGCCGCAAATCACGTGACCGACATAAATGCCACACGTAGGCCTACACACATACACACACACACACACACGCACACACTGCTGGACTTGCCTATTTTCTGAATTGATCCATTAGTGTAATGATTCGCACATTGCGGTGAGTTATATACGGGGACTATAGCGACGAAACGTAAATATAGGCCTATATAGCCTATATATATATATATATATATATATATATATATATATATATATATATATATATATGTCTATTGTAATGATAATACTGTTTATTATTTTACTACTATTAACGATAACTATTATTAGGCTATAATTATTATTATTGCCCTATGTTGGCCTTTTACTCAGTTTGCGTTTCCTTCGTGTGTGTGGGTGTGTGTGTGTGTCCAGTGCTGATAAATATGGAGGAAAAGGCCGCGTAAGGATATCGTATTTATTAGATTTCAGGCACAATAACTAAATTAACGCACGATACAAAATTAAGTGTCTTTTTCGACTACGTATTTCTAACACGAGTTTTTAACATTTGTTCTCATTAAATTTTAATATTCTTAGGTCTCTGATCAAACATTTAGATTTGGGTAAATGTAAACACCATTACGGTGTGATGAACACTTCGAACATTTATTATTTCACATTGATAATTATCGTGGCAAAGTTAAAGCTGCTTAATTCATGAAAACGATGTTTCTCGCAGATGTGGCTTCAAAGAAAGAAGAAAATCATCCGCTCGAGCATCAATTATAATTTCATCTGTTTCTTAAGTGACTCGTGCTCGCGGGGTCCAGACAGCCTCACGCGCGCCCGGTGTAATGAGCGCGCAGGGTGCGCAGGCACGCTCGTGACCGCGAGAGATCAGGGCGACTCATCCTCTCACAAACACCACTCTCTCTCTCTCTCTCTCTCTCTCTCTCTATCCATCTACCAATCAATAAATTTTTTTTCAAAATGTTTATTTCCAATGCAGCATTTTAAACACACTATAGCCTATGAATCTGAACAATTATTTGATGTATTTCCTGTAAAGTAAAATCGATTTGAAAAGCGAAGGAAGCTCGGCTGTAAAGCGCATTTTAAGCTATATTAAATTTTCCAGTTATTATTAGCTGTAAAAAAATAAAATAAAAAAACAGCCCGTTATGCTGCATGATATTGCAACTCTTACCATATTATTGAATATATTGCCGTATAGTTATTGTCGGTTTGGTTTGGGTTATAGTTGCGTGTAATTATGCATAATTTACAGTTATAGTAACTGTGACATGTGTAATGACACTGCAAATGTATCTTGATGTATGTTTATATATTTGCACTGGAAAACAAGACAGTGTAACCTAATCAAGCTGTAATGAAGCACGCGCTTTATTTGCATAACGCTTTTAAAAATATAGGCTACAGACCGTTTGATTGCAGCTTTACTGTTACTATATGACAGAATATTTATAATGTCGTGCTAGTCTATATTTTTAGAGCGTGTTGAAGATGTGACAGGACTCTTCAAAACCCACAAATAGACTTCGGCCTAGTGAAAAATATGATGGAAAACGGAAGAATTTATGAGGCATTTCCCTCTGACTCTGAGATGCTGAACATTTTGAAATATAGCTCGAGCTATTATTATTATTATTATTATTATTATTAAAAAATAAAGTTTCCAAACGGGTGTTTCCCAGTGAAAGAACAGTTTTTGGCTCAACAAAGAGGATTTTTTAGTGAGTGTGTGTGTGTGTGAATAATAATAATTTCGCAGCGCTGTAAATGTTTCGCGGAACGGACTGGAAGTATAACGCGTAATGTTTGGCGCGCTGACTGAAAGAGGACTGTATTTGCTCATTGCGTGTGTGTGTGTGTGTGTCTTGAAGAGCTCTGACCTTGCGGGAACACCAGGCGCATCTTCAGGTAGCTGCTGGTCAGTCTGATGATGGACGCTTTGTCCAGCTGAGATGTGATCGCGGACGGTAACGGCAACATCTTGGCGAGCTCGTAAAACTCGCTGTTCTCTTTCTCCCGGCGCGTTCTCGCCGCGGTCTTGGACTTCTCCTTCATCTCAGCGCGAATAGAGTTCAAATCCCGTTAAAGTGTCAGTCCATCCAGCGACACGCGCAGAGCTCATCGGACAGGTGTGTGACACCGACGCGTGGACGCGCATCTGACCCGCGCAGGCCTCAGACACACAAAAACTTTATCAATCCGCCGTTTCCCAGCTATAAACAAAAGCAAATGCAGATTAATCACGTGCATCATTTCTGAAATACATAACTCTAAATTATGGAAGCATGCATTTCTGTAAAGCTGCATTGAAACGGCATGTGTTGAGCAAATACATGTGAACTGAATTGAATAATATTCCGCGTAATTCACGAGCCTGATTGCAGACACGCAGTGCAGTTAAACGTCTATCAAAACTAGCATTTATGTCTTATAATTATGATAATTTAAAATGCTATAGTAGGCCTATTTAATTTTATTATCATTATTTATTATCATTTAATTTTATTATCACAGTAAAACTCACAAAAACATGTTAACATAACGTATACTCACCCCCTTTTGTTTGAGATCAATATTTCCACAACATTCGCAGACCGTTCATCTATTCTATTCTATTCTATTCTATTCTATTCTATTCGGCTTGGAATCTTCACTACATAAGCTCATCCTCAGGTAGTTAGCCTACCGTGTGTGTGTGTGTGTGTGTGTGTGTGTCTGAAACGAGCTCGAGCTGTCCAGTCTTACCGTCACTCACGCGCTCATTGGTCTGAGTTTCTGAAGGCGCGCGCGAGAGAAGACAAACTTACGAACTGTACAATGACAAATTAACGTCATTTGCGACTAACAAATTAAAGCCTTTAATATAAACCAAGTATAAAATGCAAAAAAAAAAAAAAAAGATAGCGTACATATGATCATGAAGAGTTGATTTTTATAATAGACCTTTAGGTATTTTATAATTAATGTTTATGTTTAAATGAAATGGTCAGTTTATATTTGTAATTAATCTAGATTAGAATAAGATCTCGATTATGCACGTGCAAAATGTGGTTACACCGTGTTTAAGGTGTCACAGTGTAATTCTAATTAAGTTCTAATTAACATGTAGGTGTTTGGTTTAGGGTTAATTGCATGTAATTGTGCATAATTTATAGCCACAATAACCACATGTACCATTTGTAACAATGACGCTGTGAAATAAAGGATTAACGAAATTTTGTCTCTGCAAAGCAATTAATAAAAAAAAAATAAGGATAGACGTTTTCCTTTTATCCCAGTGTCGTCTGGAAATATATTCGCAGAGCATTTGAATATTTCAACTCTATATGCATTTTCAGACCGAATGCGGAACACACACTGAAATGAGAACAAAGGTCAGAACTGAAAATAAATGGGGGAAATGGAGAAAACGAAGGAGAAGAAGACAGGCTTTCTTAAAATTAGGATTATATTGTGGACAGCACAGGCTGTTTTAGTTTAGGCTGGCGGTGTGTGTGTGTGTGTGTGTGTGTGTGTGTGTGTGTGCAAGAGAGAGAGAGAGCGAAATCACGCGCTGCAGCTCCAGAGCACGCTCGCGCTGACACACACTTTAACCTCACAGGAACTATTTATCAATCACCGACAAAAGCCTTTCACTCTCAGAGAAAACATCAGCTCTGCTTCTCTTTCTGCTCGTGCACGACAAACTCCATATGCAGGAAATGACGGAGATCTGTGGAAAGTGTCCTAACGTGCATACAAATAGGCTAGCGCGTTTAACTAGGCTACATAACACAAACTTTCTTTATTTTTATCGATAGAACTAACTATTGCTTGTGGGAAAAATAAAATAGCCTATGTTTGGTTCCGCATACGGCACAATTGTTCTAGCCTACTGACTTTATTTAGCTACAATATAGGCCTAATAGGCTAATTCGCGGTAATTGTAAATATGTTTATTGCCGCTGGTTTGTTAGTGATGTTTAGCACACATTACAAAAAGACCGCTTTTGAAGATGTGGAAACAGCTCATAATCTGTCGATCATATTAATCATCACATTAATCTGTGTGTGTTTGATGGGAGCGCGGTCGCGCATACGCTTGTGTCATTAGCAGGCCGCGTGCGCTGGGCGAGAGCGCGCACCCCCCAGAACGCGCAGCGGTTTATATGCGAGTCTTTTCATCTAAAGGAACATGTCCATTCATACACACACACACACACACACATGATCCATTCCGGAACATTTCTGATGATTTCGGTCCAGTGTATAAGAGTGAACTTTAGCATGCATATAATTCATATATTTAATATACACACACTCTCTCTCTCTCAAACACGCACAAACACACACACACACACGCGCATCTTATATAAACGAACTTTTATGCACTTATAGCTAAAATATTTTACCATAATCAAAATGTCAGATGTGTGTTTTTTAATTTCATGTCATTGATCAATGATCTGTTAGCTAAATATCAGTCAATGCAAATACATTAAATCGTCAATCTTAAACTCCGTGGTCGCAGTCTGACACTCATGGTGTGACAACATGCCCCGGTCTCCTGTCATTAACCCTTGATGAGTCGCTCGGGCTGCAGATCTCACCGTTGCCATAGTAATGCACACAGTGACCATTAATGTGTGTTCAGACCCTGAACCACAGAGCAGAGAGAGAGAGAGAGAGAGAGAGAGAGAGAGAGAGAGAGAGAGAGAGTCCAGTTTCTCTGAGCTTCATGAGGGTGAGCTGAGACACATGATCCCGATCTCGAGTCCTGTGGGAAGGAGGATGTAAAATGATATGAAGAGCAGGATTTTCTCTCTCTGAAGTGAAACTTTCTCCTGGTTTCATCTGAGCTTCTAAACCTGTGTGTTGTGCGTTTCTAAAGCAATAGATTTACAACTGCTTCTCTTCATGGCTCATTAGTGAGAGCGGGTGTGTATCGGGTGTCACGTGTCTAGACGTCAGGATCTCGGTTGTTGTTTCATATCATATCACATCATATTTTTCAATGCAAAGTCATTAAATAGTCAATCATAAACTCTGTAGTCGTTTATTTGGTGTGACAACTTGCCCCGGTCTGTGGAGAGCGTGTGCGCGTTACTTCATGTTCACGGAGTGTGTGTGTGTGTGTGTGTGTGTGTGTGTGTGTGTGTGTGTGTGTGCAGCGGGTCACGCTGTCTTTCCTGTGTCTCCTCCATTAGTGAGACTGTGAACTGAAATCTTCCTGAGCGCGTTTATCAGACACGCGCTTTAAACAGGAGGTCATCACAGGGCGCGCGCAGCAGGAAGTCTCACACCGCCACTTCCTGTCTGAGTATGATGATTGGTGAAGCAGAGAGAGAGAGAGTGAGAGAGTGACCCGGCATACAAAAGACTCATTAACAGGGTGTGTGTGCGTGTGTGCGCGCGCGTGTGCCAACTGGGAACGTTCTGTCAACGTTGGGAACAAACACCCTTTCAGTAACATTAATAGACCGCTGAACGTTCATTCAAAGGTATCTGGTCTATAATAATGTTCTCAAAACATTTTTTTGAAACATTTCAATTGGGTGTTTTGTTTTTTTACCCAAAAGTAAAGTTCCCCTTTTTTTATAAAACGATATGGGAGGACGGTGCGCAACCTAACGCGGGGTTAAATGTTACACGGACCTTTTACATAGTTTTCAGGATCAAGAAGGTTTGTTTCCGCTCTTTTTCTCTTTCTGCCTTCCGCGAATTTGCGGAAAGTTTTGATAATATTTCGTGAAGATACTGGACAAAGAGTGTTCTGCAGTCAGAGGAAAACTTTGAGTTACAATATGTTGTAATATTTACTAAATTGTTGGTTGCCATGTGACGCAGTAAAATATCTGGCAATTTCCTTTTTTAAATTGTCTATAAATATATTTTACATCTGCGATATTCTTTTTAAAATGGAGTTTTGTCGCCCTCCTGTGGTGAACTGTGTGAATTACACTGCTGCACCGTATTCAGAGCGCCAGAGGAAAACTGCACTTACTTTGCGTTAATTTCACATTATTTAATAAATTATTAATTTAACGTGACATAGTAAAAAATCTAAAAAAGTTTGCTTTTGTTCCGTGGAAATATATACTTATATCTGTAAAAATATAATATATCTATTATGTGCATTACACCGCTGTTAATTATTTCATTTCTGTTAAAACCTTTTATTAAATTATTTGCATTGATTGAAATCATTTGATGAATAGTTGAAAACATCTGGCAAACATGTAGTTTTAAAATGAAATATATTGTTGGATGCATACACTTAGGGATAATTATGAAAAATTGATTGTATCATTCTCTGTTTATTGTACCTACTTAAAATAAACAAATACATAATATAATTTTAATAAGTCCAATGTCTTGATCGAACTGTGGTGAATTCATGTGAATTACACTCCTGTTAATTATTTCTACCTAAACATTTCTACCTACTTTTAGTTAATTCAAGTCAAAGGAAAACTTTGACTAAATTGTTCGTTACCACATGAAACACATGACCCCTTTTATTTATATATTTAGTAGTAGGCCTATAATAATTGTACATACTTTTAAATTTGAATTGAAAACGCCCTCCAGTGGTAAAATGTGTTAATTACACCACTGAAATATTTTTTCTGGAGGAAAACTAGTTGATTAAGAATTATTCTTTTAAAGCCTCGTTGATTCAGACGTTTTAGTAACAGAAAAATATAAGCGCAACAGAATAAAATATGCAGCAAGAACATTTTAATGTTATTTTAAGTTATTTTGTGTTGAATGTAACAAAATATGGACTTTAATCCATGATGTAGTATTTGTTGTCAAATGTAAAACCTAAAGATGAAGTGTCTTTGCTGTCACCCGGTGTCTTATTTTGGCTTATTTTAGATTGCAAATTACAGTTTTTCCCATTCATTTCTATGGGTGCCCATTTTTGACCCAAATACAAGATTAAAGAGTTTCTTTTTCACACACTTAACATTGTAGAATTGAGTCAAAAAAATTGTGTGTGTTCAGGAGGCAAACGTAGGAAAAGTAGCCAAGTCTTGTACCACTCAGATCAAGGGAAGTATTTTTAAAAAATAAATCAAAACTGTTTTGCCCACATTTGTCCAGAATACGGTTTTGTAGCAGAGATGTGTATGTGTATATGTTGCTTGTGTAAAAAAAGTTGAATCTAACTTAATCATTTTTAAAATAATTTAGCTAAAACCAAAATGTGTTAGGTTGTGCCCCGCTCTCCCCATTGATAAATTGAGCAAAAAAAACACGTTATTAAAACATTTTTTGAACAGAACGTATAGAAATAACCTTTTCCTAACCTAATATCTGGGAACGTTAGCAAAACTGTATGTTGCTAGGAGCTAAGGACCAAATAAAAGTGAACGTGCTGTCCCTCATGAGAGATGGATAAAGATGCTCATGAGGACAAATGCAATCAGAAGCAGAAATATTAATATTCACATATTTCACAATCTAGCAGAGAGATCAGATTTAAACACATTCCTGTCACTGCAGTGTCATAACGATGAGTGTGAAACATGAAGCAGCGGCGCCCTCTAGTGGCCCGTGCAGGGAAACACACACACACAAATAATGGACAAATACATTATTGTTTACCATTGAAATTATAATGACTTTTGAAGGATTTTGATTATTTTTTAATTACTAAATATAAGTATATACAAATAAATAATGTATACCTGGATAAAATTAGAATAAATCTATAATTTAGATATATTAAAATATATTAAA